GATCACATCGAAGAAGAACATACTCATCCAATTTAGCCATAAGGTCAGGCATATGCGGTTTGAGCCAGGTTTCAGGAACCGCAAGGATATGAAAGAAGTTAGCTACTATATGTATATTCCCGAAGTTCATCAACATGCGCCATGATACATTTAGCATTAACGTGGCTTACCCTGAGCGCATGTGCTCGATCGTCAAGTGGTGAAGAAGATAGATCGGGAAGACCTCGATGAATTGGAGAGGGCGATATGGGGTGAATGATGCTATCGAATCTTAAGAATTTTCTAATTGATCGAGATAAATGGGATCATAGATTTGATCCAGACAGTATGTGTCGCCTATAGCTTGCACGATCGTTGGGATCCGATGCTTGCTAATACGGTGGCGATCTGGAGGTTCATCGAAGTTGCGTCTATAGTTTTGTTTGTTATTAGTGAAGTATGCTAAATTATCTTGTATTTAAAACTTTCACGTGCAATTCACGCTGCGCGCAATCATTTCGGTTGCGTTTCGAGTAAGTAGAGGCCGCGTAGAGGTACTTTTTCCCGGCGATAACATCGTAATAGGTAGGAACTCAGCTAGAAGGTTGGGTATATGTTGACTGATATTTTCAAGAGCAGATAGGTCTTTGGAACTGATTCCGGTATCGAGATTATTCGTGACGGGATAGAATACGCGTGTCTAACAACACTTGAAAGATCTAGATTTCCAGCGGGGAATCTACGGTATCTGTTTAGTCAAAGATAGTTATCGTTGGGAATTTCGAATTCGTAAATATTTTGAAGCGGACAACCATTAATAGGCCACTAGTCCGCGAGTTTAATAAATACTGCTGTATTTAAACCCTTGCGCGTGAATTACGCAAAGCGTGTATTTTTTCCGGAAGCATCCGGATTTCCAGATATTACCTTTGGAGACTTGTGTTAGAGGATTTCGATCCGGTCATTTTTTTTAATAATTACTGTTAAACTCGCGTACGGAATCGTCATTCCGCGTCATTTAATTCTTAAGGAATCGTTGGTTCCTACGTGATTCATTGTTCGAATTAGCGATCTCTTGTATTTCTTACAGGACTGTTCTATTTTATTATTCTTTACGTCTTCTAAATTGTTACGAAATCGTTGTTCTATTTACTTTGCTAATATTCGTGTTATAAATTATTTTAGAACTGTTGTTCCTTATCGCATTCTGTTCACAAATATTATATTCTTTTAATTTTTCTTGTTATTATTAACTCGGGCCTGTCTGTGGATTCCGTATCCTTAAATGAAAGCGCTGCGCTGGACTTAGCGCATTCTTGCAAGCGCCGACTAAATGGCTTGGCGCTTTTCTTGGTGTCAGGAAACTCCCAGCGCAACAGTGGCGTTAGAACGATCCATTATAGAAGCCCCGCACCTCCGGCCTCCATACTCAGGATTTCGTCAGTCCGGCGTTCGGAAAGAGGAAACGGGGGAAAATAGTGGGCCGGTGGCGAAAGCACAAGACCCTTTTGGGTTAGAAACCCGCACGCAAGGGGTGTGGCATTCCGGGAACTTTAACCTATTACGGGCTGCGGCCCCGAGGAGAAGACGCTGGAGCAAGATTGTCTTGATTTTTGACCGACCGCGAAGGATAGTACGGAGGTATTCCCGAGAATAAGTAATCTCTGCGAGAGAACTCAGGTAATCGGTAGACTGTGAGTGAAAAAATTCTTCCATGTTCGGGGGGTATCAGAGCTATCCGATAGTCGCGGATTGCAGTTTTCGGGATTTCTCGCAAGAGACGCCGGCTCCCGGTTTTTGTTTCTATTAATAGTACAGTGCAAGTGGGTGCTCGAGTGTGTGGAACACCGAATGCCCAGTGGACGCCCTTTTGGAGCCAGGATATGGCACCATTGTAGGAGACAGAAGGGGTACGGCTGCCGCGTTTTAGTATTTTTTTTTTAGGAATTTGTGGGACAGTCAGTTTTTGGTAAGTACCGCGTAGGCGGTCTTACTCACAGAATATCTCGCGCGCAAGGATGGCCGGGAATGATGCGGACACACGGATACCTAGGACGGTACTGAAGTCAGAGCGCAGACTCTCTACGAGGGGGAGCTCATCTCCAATGAGATCTGTTAGGATCGCGAATCGTGAAGTGAAGGGATTCGAGGATTCGGTAGACACACCGAAATAGTGACAGGTTTGAGCAGACTACCCACCACGACTCGAAATAGTCCAAACCATCATTGGGGAGTATACTGCACGCGGCGGGATTTGTATTTTTAAATCCTCAGTTCATTTAACCGTAATAAACGAGAGAGTACCCTACTCGCTGCGTAATCATTTTGCGCGTCTATCCACCGACTCCGAAAGCTCTGATAGGGTGTTACTGAGGAAATCAAGATAGCTTTCCCGTTGACAGTAGATGGAAGTACGCATGGGTTAATCTTTAAAGTAAGTTGTATGCATTATAATTATAAAAGAGAGGGTTTATATCTAAGATATTCTAGTGTGTACTGTGACGTGATTTTCCCGAATCGCGCCACAAAAATTCATAAATTTTCTTTTCCGCACAACCTAGGCTCCGCACGACAATCCGCTAACGAAATTCCGTCCGCGACATTACTCTTAAGTTTTCCATTTGTCAACGTCTACTATCGTCCTTGATGTCAGTTCCGATTACGTTTTCTAAGACTAATTATTCTTTCGCTTTTGTTACGATATACGCAATCTCTACTCTCGAGTTTCTCAGCAACGGCATAAGAGCGTGAGGAAAGGACCGCCACCTTGGAGATTTTGGAGGATTTTACGGCGATTCCGTTTGGCTGTTGATGCCGCTTTTGAGATTTTTGACGTGAAGGACAACCTTGGAGGGACCAGCACGCCGCTCCCACCGACCAAGAGATGCCCGCCGGTTCCGTCGACCTGGATGTCGCCGGGATCCTGCTGCTGCCACTACGCCAAAGAAGCCCTGGAGCACCCGGGAGGGGACTCCGCCGTTTCCGTCAGCCGGCGAGGACTGGCGTCTGGGCCTATCCGCCGCCGATACGGTCGGCAGGGAGATGAGGCTTTCCTCCCTGGCCCGCCTAAGGCCTGCCGATCGCCCACGTCAGCGCCTCCGTCCGGCCGAGAAGCCGCCGACATTACTTACTCGCCAGTCCCAGTGTACTTCGAGGGCCGTGCCGTCAGGATCGCCGTTGGTCTCTGCTCGGCCGTTTCCGTCGCTGCGCGTCGACTCTCGGGAGAGCTCGGCTACCCTCGTCAACGTTCGTCCGTTCCGGTGCCGTCCCGCCTCACCTGTGCCCGCTTGCCAACGATCGTCGATCGATAATTCATTTTCGTGCGAAGTCTTAAAGAATACTTACCTGTTAAGTATTGAGGACTAAGAGAAAAAGAGAGAGAGAGCGAAATATAGACCGATTATTGAGATTGAGCTGGTGCCGTTGTCTTGAGGGCTGACTCTTTTGAGCTTTACGCTCTAATTGGCTATTTTTGTGGTGAGATCTTTCGCTTTCCTTAAAATTTTCTGATTTGTGGTGTATTGAAGATTATAGACACGTGCACGGCTAAACCGTCCGTTTAGCCGGTGACGAGTTTTCCTTGCCGTTATCGTGCGAACGTCTTTCCGCCTAGTATCATATAAAGGACGATAGTGCCGTTATTATTTATATTTTTGAGTTTCCGATTTTGCGCTTTTCTTGTATAATTTGGTGTTTGCTATTCTGTTGTAATTAACGAACTTTCTGGAATCTTCGCCTAGTGTACACGTGGGAATCTGCCTTCCCGAGCGTTTGACCCCGGATTAACCGGCTTGGTAGTGCTACAGCCAGATTCTCGCGCGGCCGATTATATTATTGTGCCGATTATTATAAGATATCGTTTACCGACAAATTTTTGTTCCCGTTTCTGTAAAATCTTTGTGAGACTTCCGAACCCTAAGTTTGGTTAAATTTAGTGGCGAGCCCACGCCGTCTTTATTTTGCATACTCTTATGTTTCTCTTTCAAAGTGAAATAAGTTAAACGAAATTCTTTTCTTGTTTTTGGTAAACTTTTGTGGCCTTTGCTGAAGTGTGATTCCGAATATCATATTTCTACTTTTGTATGCGATATCTTCCGTTCTGACTTCTGTAATTTATTGAGGATGTACTGTATCTGATTATCGTTCCCGAACGTTGTAATTAATCGTTGTAATTTCGTCTTTATATTCTCGGTGGAACATTTGTGAATTTTGCGTATCGCACACGTCCTTCCGACGTCCCGCGCTAGCCGCCCTCCGAGGCGACCTGGCTTGTTGACGTTCCTCGACGTCGCGCTTTCGGCCGATTTCGAAAGTGTTACTATCCGTTCCGAGAACTTCTTTCCGCTGCAACGATAATGAATATTGATATTGATATTTTTTCTGTGCCATATCTTCTATTAATTTATTGTGATATTTCTAATTATTGTGCTACTTTTCGTGTCCGCGATTTTCGAACTGGTGTTCGCGAACCCGCGTATATTATCCTTCGTCGGGTTCCTTCGTAGTTATAATTTCTTTTGCGTGACTCTTTCGTATTACTGTTGTCGACCGCGGTTATAATTTCGCGCGTGCGAGAATTGGAACCGCGCAGATCGTTCCGCTGCCGTTCCTCTGCCGTTCCTTGCGTTCCGATTTTTGTTGTTAACGTTATTTGGTTATTTTATTTCAAAACGAATTTGTTAGTTTATTTCGAGTAATTCGATTATTCCGACCGCATTAGTTTCCGTGCCTACCGTTCCTAGAAATATCGAGTCCGCATGCCCGCGTCTTATTCACGTACGCACTCACGCGTAGCGCGATCGGCCGTGAGTTTCCGAGAAGTATAAAGCGTCTATAAGTTCCGAAATTCCATTTAGTGCTTCTTATCTCTTTTGCATCATATAGCTTCCGATTTTAGATGCCGATTATTGTGAAGTAATTTTTATGATTTTTGTAAACCTATGCTTGGCTTTCGCTCGCACCGTCAGTAATGCCTGAGTTAATGCTTTTGTACTATTGTTATTGCGTCTATTGATTATTTGGGCCTTTTATTCTGCTTAATACAGCTCTGGTGCGTTAACGAATTAATTTGGATTATTTTTCTTGCAGTTTTTCGTATCACTTTGCTATAAGTCCTTGGCCCAGTTCTTTCCTTCCTTACCTCTCGAACGCCGCGATGCTTCCGACGGGCAAGCCTCTGAATCGGCGTACCGTGGGACGTACAGTGGTCTGATTTAGTACTATCCCCCAAAAAACACTTACGTGTAAAAAACAACGCTAAGTACAGGATTGCTGTGAATTCCTCTAACAAAAAGTATTGATATCATATTATTGAGGCCAAGTACATAAGTCACTACATGTTTTCCTATTATATGATCTAACACTGGCCCATCATTTTAATTATATTTTCAATATTTCCTATAACGTTTTCGCTACTCTTCTATGTTACTACTGCTTCCCGTGGTTAATTACGATTTAATGGTGATTTAGTAATTAATAAAACTTTAGGTGATTCCTTATCGAGTACTACTTGGCGGGTCCGTGCCAGGAATTCCAAAGTACTTACTTTGCACGTGCTCATAGTATTCTAATGCTGTATGTTTGTTATGAAGCTTTTACCGTGATTATTTTTGACGAGTTATTGTTAATATGCTTTCTATAGAAAATTGGTACTGGTTTTGTACCAAATTTATATCAAGAAATGCACGGACCCGCCAAGTAGTACTCGATAAGGAATCACCTAAAGTTTTATTAATTATTAAATCACCATTAAATCATAATTAAACACGGGAAGCAGTAGTAACATAGAAAAGTAGCGAAAACCTTATAGGAAATATTGAAAATATAATTAAAATAATGGGCCAGTGCTAGATCATATAATAGGAAAACATGTAGTCACTTATGTACTTGGCCTCAATAATATGATATCAATACTTATTGTTAGAGGAATTCACAGCAATCCTGTACTAGGCGTAGTTTTTTACACGTGTTTTTTGGGGGATCCAGAAGACTCGCGTAGACGAGGAAAAATTATTTAGTACGCAGCAGAATCTGCGGTTGATCACTCCCGCCAAGTAGTTCTGGCGGTACTTTTTCAAAAGTACTTTTTCAACTCAGTTTTGAAAAACTCGGATTATCTTTTCGCATCACTTTCACCAAAAACATTGATAATGTGGTCGACCGACTCAATACTAAAAAAAAAAGGTATGAGTAAGGGTCGTTAATATACAATGTACTAAAGATACGTGTGAATAAATAATATTAAAAATACCTTTGCATATTGCAGTACAGCTTGTGGGTAGGCTGCCACTAACAGCTTAGTTGGTATATAAGTTTCTTCAAAGCAGAGAATACGTATCGAAAGACTACCATCGATTTCTTCACTGTCCAAAAAATTGTTCACTTCGTGTGTACATCCAATTGGCAACTTTCCGCTGGTTAATAAAGCTTGGAGTTTTATTATTTCGACTCTGACCGATCGATCCATTTGCGCTAGAGTTTGTTGATATTCTTTAGCAAAAGGAGGCATTTCATCTAGATAGTGAGGCCTGCAAATATCGTTTACAATTATTCATTATATTTATAGCTTATTCGTATTACGCGTTACATTCAAAGGAGTCATTCCTGTCTAGAGGCAGAAAAATATCGCATTTTCAAAAACTATAATATGCAACGTTATTCAAGGCAAACCTATCAGTTGACCATGGGCGCGATTCAACAATTCCGTTAATAGAGGCAGTATAACCTTGTTACAAATAAAAGATTGTGAAGCTTATGATGTTAATAATATTATGACGTTCACTTTTTTTTTTAATGATATTACACTTCTGTGATTGATGATATCACCTATTTTTTTTATCAAATTCTGGTGTGTTTGCCGTGAATAATCTTGTACATATATTGTGACGTGAATTCCGGAAATTCAATCATAAAACCTGCTAGGTATAGAGAAAATACTATATTAACCTGCAGCGACTCTCCAGGCGTCAGTCACCCGACATTTCAAAAACTGCTTTTGCTTGTCACACATATCGTTACGCACTATGATTTCCGCCTATTGTTCTTTATACCTATCCCTGCTCTACTTCTGTGCTTCTTGTCACTATTATTTTGTTTGGAGCTTCCTTATTCGCACTCTCTTGTCTCCTGTATCGCCATGGGTCAATCTGCGTTCTTCACCACGAGCACGAAATGGACCGCCAGAGATAGTTTCTGAATTACCGATAAATAACGATTTATAGAGGCTGGACCAAACTGCTGTCTATTCCGGAGGACTACCGTGAGTCAAGGGAGACCCTGGATGGGATCCCTCCATAACTTCTGCCGGCCCTCCCATGCAGTCCGCGAAAAACAGCCTTTACCATTCATGCCGCCGATAGAAGGAAAGGAAAATAGAAAATAGAAAATATAAAATATATCTTCTATCGTGCCACCCTGCCTCCGTACGTCCAATGGCGTCTCGTTATCAGTGGCCTCCGGAGAAGATATTAAGGCCCACTTTTTGCTGGACCCTGCTGCTTACACCGAGGACTCACGATCGGCCGCATTAAGCACTCCCGCACTCAGCTCGACCCGCCCCGAATATCTTCGGCCTCTGGCCACCACACGCCTCATCTCTCGCTACCGTCATGCGTTAAATTGACTTATTCTCTATTATTATATTTTGTCATAGTTCTATCGTGCGAATTAGGAATTACTAATTTATGCAGGGGAGCTTTTAAGGCTCTTCTTCTAACGACGAATTCCGGCTCATTGACTTACGTTTGAAGCGTCTTAGTCTGTGCCCGTAGTAATATAAATTGTTCGAAGTATTAGTGAGTGAACGAAGAAAGCCAAAAACGGAAGTCTAGATGGAAGGAAGGAAGTCCTAGGACTAACCTGCCGGTCTCGTTGTCGTCAGATTCGGTGAGCACATTTCACTATCAGAATTTTGGAAATATTTTTGTGAATTTATCTAAGACAATAACCATCTGCGATCCTTTTCTTGACATTTGCGGACATTTCGCAAACGTTTCAGTCTGGATCATCAGGGCTGGGAGGCTCCAATATTGAAGCTCCCTGTTGTTAGTAAGTCTTAATATACCTATGGTTGCTGATGCGAATTAGTGTTTCAGCCAATCACAAATTGTTGAATTGATTAGCTGATCAATTAAAAAACACAGGAGGACGGTTGAGCCCCAATTAAGGTTTATTTAGTATCCCCGACCCCTATTAAGGTTATTTGGATATTTTAAGATCTCTAGATTTTCACGGTGTTTTCGGCGTAACCTTTAGAACTAGCTAGCAATACTGTCTTATCATTTTCACTGAATGTTCAGTGTCCATCCAATGTTCAGCTAGAGCAGATTAAGAAAAATGACCTTAATTGGTACATGGTTTATGTTCTTTCACCCGCGTACTAATCTTCCTCCCGGTCTCACCTATGTAAACTTTTCCAGAGGAGTAGAAAATTTGGTATACTCCTAGGGCATTCAGGGGTGGTTTGCGGTCTTTCGTACTGAGAATAATTTGTCCAATTTTCTTCGGGCGTTTGAAGATTCTACGGATGTTGTATTTCCGTAGTACCTTGTTGATGCAGTCTGTTGTACCTTGAAGTTAGGGTACAACTACGAGTGTTCGATGTTTCTATATCTCGGCTGATTCATTGGAAGATGGGGATGGGTTTTTATTTTGTAGCTTATGTAATTCATGGCTTGCTGTGATATCCATTTCTACTAAGGGATTCGTTCAGATGTTTGATTACTATATTTAGATGTTGCGGTTGAGAAGTGGTTAAAGCCTGGTACATAAGGGAGTTGATGACAGAATTTTTCTGAGCAAGTTGATGATGTGAGGGGGCATGGAGATACCTATCGATATGGGTAGGTTTCCGGTACACCTGATGACCTAAGCTTCATTCTTCATTTCGATGGAGTAGTGTTATATCCCAAAGCGGATCTACTCAAGTAAATGCAATCTGTAAATTCTTTTCGGTACACCGAACTTCTCGATTGCCTCATGTAATTCCTGAAACGCTGAGTAGCAGGCCACGCGCTAACACTACATGCCAGTGCGAGGTATGAAGCAAGATTCTTTGTTACAAGACAGTAATAAATAAAATTCTGGTTAAACAGCAGCACGGCAAAAATGTAGATTAATCTAGATTTAAACAAAACAAAAAACTCAGATATTATGAGATATAAGCTTGATGAGAAAGAAGCAAAGAATAGAGTCGTGAGATGTGTCGTGTCAGGAGAGACTTGGCCAAAAGATCCCGAACACGACGAGAAATTTCTAGATCTGATTAAGAGATAAACGGAGATTGCAAGACAAGTCTTGTAGGGTAGAGAAGTTACTAGAATAGTCCCTACAAGACGAGAGTTTACTCGGTATTGCAAAAGCTCGAAAGAGGGCTTTGAGAGATGCAGCTAAGAGATGAGTGCACTAGAAAGAGAAACTATGATAAGAGAGTGTGAAGCACAATCACTAATTTAAAATGGAAACACCAGATGTCACACTAACAATACACTGTCGATCACTTTTGCGCACTGCGTTTTAACGACGAGTAGAGTTTCTCGCATACACGTTCTATACTAACTAGAGGGCGCGTCTAGAAGGACTTATATGCCCTCTAGTCGTTAGTCTAGAATTTTCCACTACGCTCGATCGATAATGATCTAGAACATCCTATCTCAAAGGATCCAGAGAGTTCTATAATTCAAATAACAGAAAGAAGGAGACATTCAAAATAGAGAGAAGGCATAATCCGTAAACTGTTGTTAGTAAAAAGTCTCCTCTCCTCCTATATTCTTCTTTTTTTTTTCTTTTTCAAACATTTCCGCCCGCCTTCGTTAACTTGTTAACGAATTTAAAGCGAGTCCGAATCAATTGGAAGAGGGTATAATTTGACAATAGGTCGTTTAAGGGATTATTTTGGTTTGGACGCTCGAAAAAAAGGCTATATTTGCGAATTTTTTTAAGGAATACTATAGTAATTATTGGTATAAAACTCATTGGGTTTACTAAGTACACTCTCGAAGTATACAAAAAAATTTTTTTTATTTATTTTTAAAACTTTTTTTACAAAAAAATGGCTGGCGAACGTGACCCCTTAAAAAGAAGAAGGTATGCTGCTGGCGGGCATGATAAGTTGATATCAGTTCATCAAAAACAAAAACTTCAAAGAGTTTTAGATTTAGTATCACAGTGGTTTTCACGCATTCTACAAATAGTAATATTTATTAATAAAAAACAAAATGGCAGCGATTTGAAAAAAAAAAACAAAAAAAATGCGTTTTTTTTCATTGATTTTTGTAAAAAACAATAGTAAAAATTAAAATTTCAACACGGTTATAGAATAGGAGAGAACTATGTATATGTAGAATATGTGGTTTAATTTTTATAAGGATCGGTTCAGTGGCTTCGGCGGAATCGTGCTCGCCAGGAGAAAAAACGTTGTTTTGAGAAAAACGCGTTTAAAGTTTTTTTTGATGAAAAATTTCAAAAAAATCTTACTTTACCTTAATCAGCGATGCCTGCACCATACAGTATGCCTTCTGCTTCTTAAAAATGCTCATTATCTTCCACTCTAGCCTTTTTTCGTTGTGTCCTGGCCTCTTTTGAAGATTCTCCGCTCAAACGATTGGCTGAGCGCACACGTGTGTTGTCGCGGTTACTAGCGTAATTAACTGCGATAGGGCCAAGGTTTATCCCCAAAACGTGCATTATTTTCAGTATTGGATCAAAACCCTCGTTAATAACACAAGCTACCAGTTTACAAGCTACTTCAACAATTTTTTTACCATGAAATACGTGTTTAGGCACCATAGACCAAACGCATTTGTTGAAGCACTCATTATTATTTTGAGTGTTGCCACCTAAACATCTTTCAAGTAATTCTGGTTTTGTCAGGTCTTCGTACACTGGCTTTAAAACTTCTTGGACATCTTCAGCGAGAGCAGGAGGATGTTTATAAGTATCAAGGGTTTTAGCTGCCTCAGCTTTACGATACTTACACCAGTCGGTAGCCAGAAGGAGGGTCAGGCGCGCGCGCTCAGGTACTAAAGGTAGCACCGTTCAGGTAACAAAATAATATAGTTAGACTACTCGGATCGTTTATGATACTTACACCAGTCGGTAGCCAGAAAGAGGGTCAGGCGCACGCGCTCAGGTACTAAAGGTAGCACCGTTCAGGTAACAAAATAATATAGTTAGACTGCTCGGATCGTTCTGAAATTTTTATGCGATAATTCTACATACCTCTACTTTCGAAAAATGTAAAAAAAAAAATCAAGCCAAACAAAATTTTCAAACCAGAATAATGCCTTAACTGTAGAAGTCTGTGTTCGAACAGTAACAACTCTAGTATGACCATCTTTTGCAGGATGATTTTGAATGATGCGGCGAAGAGGCCACTTTGCAGGGGGGTAGCGTTCATCAACAACTAGAGCGAGAGATCCTTCTTTGATTGGTGCAGCAGGTCGATTCCATTTATAAATTGCATGATAATGTTGTAAGCATTCTCGAGATCATCGTGACCAGAAACTGTCCAGCATTTGACGGATCTGTTGCTATCTAGACAAACGAGACGTTTTAATTTCTTCTAATGATGGTTCTGGAATAATAGCAAGTGCGTTTCCAATCAAAAAATGTCCTGGAGTAAGAGCAGTAAGATCATCAGGATCATCAGTAAGAGGACAAAGAGGTCGTGAATTTAGCACTGCTTCTATCTGGGTGAGAAGAGTTGCCATTTCTTCATAGGTTAAAGTTTGTTCTCCAATGACTCTTCGAAGATGATGTTTCACCGATTTTACTCCTGCCTCCCATTTCCCTCCGAAGTTAGGAGCACCTGGTGGATTAAACTTCCACTGCGTACCATCATTCGCAAGTAGTGAAGCAAGATGTTTCCATTTATTTGATGCTGAACAAAAAAGATTTTGTAACTCAAAATCGGCTCCTTTAAGATTCGTACCACAATCACTCGATAAGGTGACACAGATTCCTCGGCGGGAAGAAAATCTCTTGTATGCGGCTAAGAATGCTTCAGCGGTATAATCAGTAACGAGCTCTAAGTGAACAGCAGAAGTAGAATGGCAGACAAATAATGCTATATAAGCTTTATAGGTTCTGGCAGCTCGCCCTTCCCAGGTTTTGAGCATAAGAGGTCCTGCATAATCAATGCCAGAGTGGAGAAATGGACGAGATGGGGTAGTTCTTGTGTAGGGAAGTTGTCCCATTAATTGTTGCGCTCTCTTTTGTCTATATCGAGCACATCGTACGCATTTGAGTATAAAGGAGCGAACAGGTGCTCTGCCTCCTAGAATCCAGTAGTCGTTTCGGATAAATCCCAACGTTGCTTGACTTCCTCCATGAAGGATGCGAATATGAGCATCAGATACAATCAGCTTTGTTAAAATAGAATCCTTGGGAAGTATCAAGGGATGTTTTGCATTTAGAGGTAAAAGTGCTGATTGAAGGCGACCTTCGACTAGCAGGAAACGGGAAGAGTCGACAAATGGTGTTAATCGTATGAGTGAATTAGAGCTTGGAAGAGATTGACCTTGTGACAGAATATTGATTTCTTGATGGAATGATGAGCGTTGAACAGCCTTAATCCAATAACCTTTTGCAACTTCTAAGTCTCCACGAGTTAATGGATAATTTAGAGATGATCCTGAAACCTTGCGGAAGCGAAGGATGACTCGTTGGCATATAGCGGTAATTCTCAATAGCTTAGTTATGTTTGAATAACGATGGAGTAAATCCCAAAGTTCTTTCGGTTCATTTTTAGATACAGTTAAGATTTCACTCGAACGTTCTTCAAGATTATCCTTGACAGAAGGTAATTTAGATTCAATTGACCAAGTTGAAGAATTTAGGCTAAGCCACTGCGGTCCAGTCCACCACATGGAATGTTGAGAGAGTTGATTCGGTGTTAATCCACGAGTTGCGTAATCTGCTGGATTCTCAGTGCCCGGAACAAATCTCCATTTGGCTTATGGTAAAGTTTCTTGAATAAGGTAAACGCGATTGTGAACAAAATCCTTCCATCGTGAGGGATGATTGTTGATCCATGTGTAAACTATAGAGGAGTCTGTCCATAAATAAATAGGTACTTTATCGAAATTTAGCACGTTAATGACATGTGCAACGAGTTTTGTTAATAAAACTGCTCCGGAGAGTTCTAAACGAGAAATGGTCAACCGCTTCAACGGTACCACTTTAATTTTGGAGCAGACCAAGACACAGTTAGTGGTGCGAGTTTCATTAATGGATCGTAAGTATACTGCTGCAGCTATGGCTTGTTGAGATGCGTCGCAAAATCCATGGATTTCAATTGGAAAATCCTTTTTAATACCCAACCATGGGGGGAATGAAAGAGAAGCTAATTCTTGAAGTTGTGTGACAAAAACAATCCATTTATCAGCTAACTGCGTTAGCAAGGGATCATCCCAATCAAGTTTAATTGATCAAAGTTCTTGAATGAAAATTTTACCCTTGATTATCACAGGAGAGACTAGCCCAAGTGGATCAAATAGTTGTGCTATGGTCGATAACAGGGTTCGTTTAGTAATAATCTTTGTTGAAGGTGTCTTAACCGTAAAATGAAACGTATCATAGGTTGGTTTCCAGGATAGCCCTAATGTATGAATAACAGTATCCTCTTTGATAGGTAACGATGATAAGTTAATTCTTTTTTCCGGCGGTATTGACTGAAGGACCAACGGGTTATTACTACTCCACTTTTGAAGAGGAAAGCCGGCCGCCATGCAGAGTTGGTTTACTTGATGAACCTTTTCTTGAGCTTGTTGAACGGAATCAGCTCCTCCAAATATATCATCGACGTACCGTCCTTTCTTCAAAATTTGAATCGCAAGGGGAAATTTAGCGCCTTCGTCTGTAATTAATTGCAATAGCGTTCGAAGTGCCAAAAAAAGGAGCACAGGCAAGGCCATACGTCACAGTAGTAAGTTGATAAGTGACAATATCTTGAGAATTGTTAATCCATAAGATTCGCTGTAGACCCCAATCATCGGGATGGACTTGGATTTGTCGATACATCTTTTCAATATCTGATGAGGAGACATAACGAAACTGTCGGAACCATATCAAAACATCAATTAAGGCAATTTGAAGCTTAGCTTCAGTGTGAAGTATATCATTCAACGATACTCCTGTTGATGTGCGGCTGGATCCGTTAAATACGACGCGAAGTTTGGTTATAATACTGGTGTCCCGAATCACTCCAAGATGATGATAATAAATACGTGACGGCTCTAACTCGTCATTGGGAACTTGTTTCATGTGTTGTAGGGTTTCGTATTCTGTCATAAAATTTGAATAAGCTTGGCAATAAGTAGGATCAGATGTTAATCGTTTTGAAAGTCGTGACAGCATCTGACAGGCATGAGCTCTAGAGTCACCTAATTAATTAGCAGATTGTTTTAATGGCAATTTGATAATGTATCGGCCTTCTTTGTCTCGAGAATGAGACGATTCGAAATGCTTTCACATTCCTGCTCTTCCGCGGATAATGAAGTTCTGCTGGATGACGGAAGTTCTTCAAGTTGCCAAAATCGTTGAAGTATATCATGAAGTTCTCTATCGATTGTGACGTGGTATGTGTGACTTTGAGGTAATGATGACGTAGCTCCAGTCGGACCAGAAATTAGCCAAGCGAACTTGGTAAATTTAGCTATTGGAGCATTTGCCACTCCTTTGATTAGGCCATTTTCAATTATTTGCCCATAGAAATCTGCTCCAAGACTGATATCGATGGGCCCGGAAGAATTGAACTCCGGATCAGCAAGCTGGAGATTCTTCAAGTGTGACTATGAGACATCTTTGATTTTAACTGATGGAATTTGACGTCAGTTTAGGCAAAATGTACGCAGACATAGCAAACTTGAAATTAGATTCAAAATAAAGCTTAAGGCAAAATGAAACGAGGCCTCTTGCTTTACCGGTCTTTTGTTCCCCGATACCAATGAATTGAGAGTATGACCATCATCTAAGAAGGTGAAGAAGTTGAGCCAGGCGTTCAGAGATTAGTGAAGTCTCTGATCCTTGATCAATTAATATTCTTGCTTGTGTTTGCTCTCCCGATTCAGAGACGATAATGACAAGAGCCGTTCCCAATAATACACAAGATGAGGACTGCTGATTAAAGGCTGAATGATGAACATGCTTTTCAGGATCAGTTGAAGTGTGGTCTCCTGGCGTTACTAACTTGGTTGGATGGGTAGTTGACGAAAAAGTTGCTTGATGAATTGTGGTATGATGCTTTTTTCCACATTTATTGCATCGTTTCGTAGACCGGCAAGCAGAAACTCGATGTTGACCTAGGCAATTAAAACAGAGCTTCTTCTGGTTAATAATATCAAACCGCTGTTGAATAGACTTGTTGGTGTATTCTGGATAACTAGTAATATAATGGTTTGCTGAACAGATTACGCATGAGCTTGAACTGGTCGTAGGTAGCCTTTTAATTGATTGCCCAGCAAAATGAGACTTGATAGAGTTCTGTGCCGTAGATTTCCCTGCGCGAGACTTCTCGAATGCTTGCAGTGATAGCATTCTGGTCATTAAAAAATCACTAAATTGATTCCATGTAGGAGGCTCTTCAGAAGATCCCAAGTGACTTTCCCAGGCTTTGACTAATTCAGAGTCAAGTCGTTGAACAGCAATAAATACTAAAAAATCATCCCAAGTATGAACAGGCCGTTATAAGGTTTCTAAACTACGATAAATTTGAGTAATGGTAGTGTATAATTTTTCCAGTTTAAAAGCTGATTCCTTAGTTATGGGTTTAAGACTTGTTAATGAGCTTAACGCTGAATTAACTAATAGTCGTTTGTTCTCATAAAAGGTGATCAATGCATCCCATGCCTTTTGAAAATTGTCTGCTGTAAGTGTGGTGTTTTTAAGGAAGTGAGATGCAAACCCGATCAGACTAATTTTTAAATATTGTAATTTTTCAACAGACGTAATTGTTGGATGAGATAAAACCATAGAGCTAAACATATCCGTGAACGATAGCCAGTCAGAAGGAGACCCGTTAAACTTGGGAAGGTCGAGTCGAGGTAAACGTGCTTGATAATACAACGATGGCTGATTGGAACTCAGACAGAGAGACTGATTTGATTCAGTTCTTGTCATGGTGGGTTCCGCAAGGAAAGATTCCATCTTTTCAATTGCTTCAAGATAACTTTCTTGAGTTATAAGCCCTCTAATCGTTAGTCTAGAATTTTCCACTACGCTCGATCGATAATGATCTAGAACATCCTATTCTCAAAGGATCCAGAGAGTTCTATAATTCAAATAACAGAAAGAAGGAGACATTCAAAATAGAGAGAAGGCATAATCCATGAACTGTTGTTAGTAAAAAGTTTCCTCTCCTCCTATATTCTTCTCTTTTTTTTCTTTTTCAAACACTCTTCCTTTGCAAGTTCATCAATATTGCGGTGCATTGTCCCCAAAATCGGAGCTAATGCTCCTACGGTATTCAGTGAATCTTGGGAACCGACGGAACTCCTCTAGGAGCTACCGTTGAAATCATCGAGTCTTGCTCGTTCCTCCGCGAGTAGTATCTTACGTGCCTTCAGATCCTTGTGAACAAGCCTTCCCACCCGAGGGCTGGGGAAGTCGCCGCGGTGAGCATTCGTATCAATCTATCGCGAGTGCAACGACAGACATCACAGTGCATAAGAAAGAACTCATACTATGAAATCCTTTGCCACTCTTCAAACCAATAATACAAGCACAACCTCCGTAAGTTAACGAATTCTTTGTATGTAATCTAACTGTAACAAATCGATGATACTTGTCGCTTCTCATTCGAATCCACAATACCAATAAACAGTCCACTCTTTGAAGCGACCCAATCTAAGAATCTTTCAACAACCTTATTCTATCCCCCAATAACACAGAAAACATCTAACTGTAACGAATCGATGATACTTGTCGCTTCTCATTCGAATCCACGATACCAATAAACAGTCCACTCTTTGAAGCGACCCAATCTAAGAATCTTTCAACAACCTTATTCCATCCCCCAATAACACAGAAAACATCTAACTGTAACGAATCGATGATACTTGTCGCTTCTCATTCGAATCCACGATACCAATAAACAGTCCACTCTTTGAAGCGACCCAATCTAAGAATCTTTCAACAACCTTATTCCATCCCCCAATAACACAGATAACAGATACCCCTAGCGTTCAAATGGTAGTCCACAATTAAGATATATCTACGCCCTAGCAGTTTCACTAGCTAAGGCTTAACACTAGAACGTCTAAGAATTGGAGATTCACCCGTTCCTGAATTTCCATAGTGAATCTTATGCACGGGTGTACTGAATGTATGTATTCCACGGAAGAAGTAATTAGCCAAACAGAGACAGCTCCACATAATTAGCGCCTCATCTATAACGGATTTGAATGATTTTTTTTGCAATCGTTTGTAGGTCATTTGTAGGTGTTTGATATTGCATCCACGACGTTTGATAGTCCACTATTTATTTATAATATTAAAACTAATTTTTTAGGGAATTTTTCTTTAGGTTAGCCCCTCATTCAAATACAGGGTAGACCAATAACTTTATCCACCTGGAATATTTTTGTTATTTGTAATAATTTCTGTAAATGTTTCATACAAAACTTGTACGGTATGGAGGGGGACATAATATGATGTTATTATTTTTTGCGAGAGTGTAGGCGTAAAGAAGTTTTCAAGGTCATTTTCAGTTTTTTAAATGGGATGCTACATTTTTTTCGTCGCTATGTGATAACCAGTGTTGAGGCGATTTCAGCAAGCTACTATCAATGTCATTTATGTTCAAATGTGCTAGTAAAATAAATTTACATTACATGAGATGTTCAAAGTGTCGACCATTTGCGTCAATGCACAGCTACAATCTTTGTATCACTGAATCTCGTGCACATCTTATCGTATCGACACCTATTCTAGCACATGCTGCAGTAATTCGTTGTCTCATATTTTGTGGTGTAGTTGGCATTTCTTGAAAAACATTTTTTAATGTTCCCCAGAGACAAAAATCTAACGGGGTTAAATTCAGAGAACGAGCTGGCCACGAAACCGATCCTCCACGACCTATCCATCGATTTGAGTAAAGATTATTAAGTGCCTGTCTTGCTCGTCGAGCATAACGTGCTGGGCATCCATCGTGCTGCAACCACATTGTTTGGTGAATGTTCAGCGGTACATTTTCTAGTAAAGTCCCTAATGTGTTTCTTATAAAATGTTCATATTTTTCGCCAGTAAGAGTCCCGTCAATAAAATACGGCCCAATTATTTAGTCATTAATGATTCCGCGCTACACATTAACTGCCCATTGTCGCTGATGGTCAATTTCTCGTAACCAGCGTGGATTTTCGTTCGACCAGTAGAGCATGTTATCCAAATTTAGATTTCCACGATTAGTAAACGTAGCTTCATCGGTAAACAATATTGAAGAATAAAGTGTTTCATTCATTTGGCGCTGGCTTTACCGGCGCGCGTGCTGGCTGCGCGCGCCGGTCAATATGGCGGCCTCCAGGCCTGTCAATTCCTCCCGGGCACGTCCGCGGTCTCGGAGGGAGAGGGCTCCGCCGCTGTCACACGGGACGTTTTCCTGCCCGTATGACGGGACTGCACCGGGGCTGCATATTGGTGGCGATGGTGGTGGCGGGGCTGGCGGGCATCATCCCACGGGAGTCTCGATCATCTGTTGTTCCTCCTGCCCATGCCATCCCTGCCTTCCGCTGCCTCGGCGACGTAGCCGCTCTCGCGGTATATCCAGGGATGCTGGGTCCTCGTGGCAGGTCCACGACGGTGTCCTCGATGCTGGTGCTGGTGGTTGGTCCTCGGAGATGGTCCCCGAGCCAGTGCCATACGGGGGAATGGTGACAGGGAGGGAGGGATGGAGGGAAGGGATCTTAACTCTAAATACAATGAACCTAAAACAACTAAATAAACGCAATTACTTATACTTAACGCTGAAACGCAATACTCGAGGCCTATGGGACCTCGAGCCAGGAGGCGGAGGGGAGCCTGCAGTAACATTTTTGTTACAACATATATTAAACATATACATATACATATATTATAACGTTCCGCTCTTATACCCCTCCATGGTTGATCCTTTTCCTTCCTAATTATTCAAATCTCGATGATGAGTACG